GAATACTATTTAGGACGCATAGTATGTAGTATAGTATCGATTTTAGATGCTACTGGCATGCAACTTTATTGATGTCATGAGGTCGAAAAATGTTTATGTTTGAATAATGAATATTCAGTGAATGCATACGGTTCTGTGACATAGAGCGTAATCTGCCCAGTGCTCAGTAAATAGTAGTGGAAGTACTCCATTGTGAATGAGTGTTTGTGAATCAGTGTCAGTGTTGGTTTGAGGGCCCGTGTGTCGTGTCTCCTGGGGTGGAGCCGAGGTAATGAGTAAGATTGTGCTGGCTGTGATGGATTGATCTGCTCCTCGCCTCATCTGAGTCTATCAATCAGTAGTGCTTTGCCTCTGTTTTCAATAGGACTTTGCCACGCTTCAGCGCCGGCAGCCTCCGGGACCTGGAACTCGTTGAATTAAAGATCATTTTCTTTCTCCTCCACCCTCTAATGTAATATGTCATCAAATCACAAGTATTGCTCTTGGAGCAAAGCACGAGGTGTTGCGTTTTTCATCTGGATTTTGCAAGCACTGATGGGACACATGAGTGTGTTTAATCTGTTTAGTAGATGTATGAAATGTTCGTAGAGATCTTTTGTGTGTTGGCTTTCATTTAGGCCGTTTGTATATAAATTAAATAGGATATATATATACAATCTAATATATACATTTATTTAATTATTGTATAGGCAATACAAACGAGATTTGTTTTTTTGTCTGTAAGTATAGAGCTTCTTTTATTTCATGATTTATTTAGTAATTTCATAACTATTTTTAGGGGTGAAAGAGATGAGATAGAGGTGGTGTTGAGATATATAGAGATGTAGAGATGGCGTTGTGATAGAACAGCTGATAGGTTGTGACAGTCAGTGGTCCTGCTATCTTTCTCGTTCTATCACTCGCTTTCTTTGCCTGAGATGAAACCCCGACCGGGTCTGAGAGTGACAAATGCGAGTGAGCGTCTCTAGAGGAGGCTGATAGCAGTCGGCCATATGCCACATTGTTCCTAATAAGAGAAGCAGGAAATGGGACACGCCACGGATCCGCAATCACTCGGGGATCTGAGAGCGCTGTGTTGCCCCTGTGACGTCCTCTGCCGGTGACCTCATTAGCTGGCCCGTATCGGGATTAAGCTTGGGTCAAAGATAAAGCCGATCCCACACTTTCAGATGGGCGTGAAGCTTGATTAGAAGGAAATGATGAGCGAAGGCAAATGAAGGAAGATGAATGACTCCCAGGACGTCTGACGTGATTAGAGTTGATAAAGAAGACTGATGTTGTGTTGAGAGAAGCATCAGATCATACAGGCAAAATAGTGGCCAAAAGGGATGTATGGCGTAGGAAAATTGACATCAACTTTTATCTAAAAATTATTCAACACTTGTTAAAGATTTTAACACAATATAACCAAATTTTTGTCCTGGCTGTCACACAAAGAAATTATGAACGCATACAAAAATAAGAGAGACACAATGAAATATTAAAAACAGATTATGTTGTAGTTAATATATGCTTTATTCCTGTAGCTTTAGTTTGTTTTTTATTTCCCAAATAATATTGTCAGATAAAACACAAAAGGATTTGTGTCTCCTTTGAAATATTTAAAAATATAACTTTTTCCTCAAATTTTGATATTTCAATATAAAGAAGGGTACTTAAAAACAAATATCCACTGCCACAACTGTACGCTATGTATTCTATGTATAAATCTCATCTAAATAAAATCACACATTTTTATTTTATATAGTATACTGCATATATTAGACCGTATGCTTTTGAAAAAATATATTTTATTGGAATTTTTCCATATTTTTTGTTTTAATTAAAAGAGATTTATGAAATGTTTTTTTTGCTCATAAGTCTACCCCAGTTGTTACTTGTTTATATTGAATATGTTGCATTAAATATTTCTGTGCAGGATCCAGAATGAAAACTCGCAGAGCAGACTGCCAACTGCAAGTAAAATTGGCTTTATTGAGCTTTGTGTTTAGTTACCAGATGGTGCGTAACTTTATTAAGAAGTAAAACATAACACATGGTTTGAATGGAATAGAAAGAACAATAATCCGACCCCTGCTGATGTGAGTTCCTGACTCAAAGTTATTCTAAAGACATCACACTTTTTTTTACTCTGTAAATGACTAAACACGTCCTTGTTTTTTGTTTTTTTTTGTTTTTTTTTACTTTAAATAATGCGAGTGGTTCAGTGAATTTGATGGAAATTTTCACACACCCCCATCACTCGGCTCTGGTATCAGATCATACGATCTGGCTGCGAGGTTCATGTGTTCTCCGAGCTCATCACACAACGCTTCCTACATTATTTGTGCTGACTCTCTTCGGTCTCGACTCGGACTTGACTCTTTGGTCTCGGTCTCGACAAAGACTCGACTCTCTTTGGTCTCGACACAGACTCGACTCTCTTTGGTCTCGGTCTCGACTCGGACTTGACTGTCTTTGGTCTCGACTCTCTTCGGTCTCAATCTCGACTCGGACTCCATTCTCTTCGGTCTTGGTCTCGACTCGGCCTCGACTCTATTTGGTCTCGGTCTTGACTCGGACTCGACTCTCTTTGGTCTCGGACTCGACTCTCTTTGATCTCAGACTCGACTCTCTTTGGTCTCGACTCGGACTCGACTCTCTTCGGTCTCGACTCGGACTCGACTCTCTTCGGTCTCGACTCGGACTTGACTCTCTTTGGTCTCAGTCTCGACTCGGACTCGACTCTCTTTGGTCTCAGTCTCGACACAGACTCGACTCTCTTTGGTCTCGGCCTCAACTCTCTTCTGTCTCAGTCTCGACTCGGACTTGACTCTCTTCAGTCTCGGTCTCGACTCGGACTCGACTCTATTTGGTCTCGACTCGGACTCGACTCTCTTTGGTCTCGGTCTCGTCTCGGACTCGACTCTCTTTGGTCTTGGTCTCGACTCAGACTCGACTCTCTTTGGTCTCGACTCAGACTCGACTCTCTTTGGTCTCGACTCAGACTCTACTCTCTTTGGACTCGACTCAGACTCGACTCTCTTTGGTCTCGGCCTCGACTCAGACTAGACTCTCTTTGGTCTCTGTCTCGACTCGGACTAGACTCTCTTTGGTCTCGGTCTCGACTCTCTTCTGTCTCAGTCTCGACTCGGACTCGACTCTCTTTGGTCTCAGTCTCGACACAGACTCGACTCTCTTTGGTCTCGGCCTCAACTCTCTTCTGTCTCAGTCTCGACTCGGACTTGACTCTCTTCAGTCTCGGTCTCGACTCGGACTCGACTCTATTTGGTCTCGACTCGGACTCGACTCTCTTTGGTCTTGGTCTCGACTCAGACTCGACTCTCTTTGGTCTCGACTCAGACTCTACTCTCTTTGGACTCGACTCAGACTCGACTCTCTTTGGTCTCGGCCTCGACTCAGACTAGACTCTCTTTGGTCTCTGTCTCGACTCGGACTAGACTCTCTTTGGTCTCGGTCTCGACTCAGACTCGACTCTCTTTGGTCTCGGTCTCGACTCAGACTCGACTCTCTTTGGTCTCGACTCAGACTCGACTCTCTTTGGTCTCGACTCGGACTCGACTCTATTTGGTCTCGACTCGGACTCGACTCTCTTTGGTCTCGGTCTCGGACTCGACTCTCTTTGGTCTCTGTCTCGACTCGGACTCGACTCTCTTTGGTCTCGGTCTCGACTCTCTTCGGTCTCGACTGGGACTCAACTCTCTTTGGTCTCGGTCTCGACTCGGACTCGACTCTCTTTGGTCTCGACTCAGACTCGACTCTCTTTGGTCTCGGTCTCGACTCAGACTAGACACTCTTTGGTCTCTGTCTCGACTCGGACTCTACTCTCTTTGGACTCGACTCAGACTCGACTCTCTTTGGTCTCGGTCTCGACTCAGACTAGACACTCTTTGGTCTCGGTCTCGACTCGGACTCGACTCTCTTTGGTCTCGACTCGGACTCGACTCTCTTTAGTCTCGGACTCGACTCGGAGTCGAGTGAGCTGGTCTCGACTACAACACTGGTTCAAACTGACATGATGTCTAAACACACACTGGCAGCAGCTCCTTCACCAGCGTTTTCCTGCAGGGGACTGAAGACTTTCCAGTTATTTTCACTAGTAAGATCTGTTATTTGTTAGAGCTCTTAGACCCATTGGAGTTGTTCCCACACTCACTCTGGTTGTGCTGGTGTTTTTGTGCAGCATGGCACTTTGTAACATGCAGCATTGCTCATAGTTGCATCACATTATCGCACTGGCACACGATGCCTAAGGCTCCGATTTACGCTGCGTCTTATTTGCACCCAAGTTTGTCAAAATCCTTCCCCTGCTACAGTATTTCTAGGGAGGTCATGGGAAAGGCTGTGGCCTGTGGGTGTTGGTTTTTCATTTCATTTTCACAGTTCTTAAGCTCCTAATTGAAATGCTCATTAAACGTGTAGCAGCAGGGATTTCGCATCAGAGGTTTAAGAGTTGACACACTGCGTGCATTGCGAGATTGAAGCGTATCTTGCAAGGCTGTTTTTATTGCCTCATTCGTCCCCATCGGAGGGAGGGAATATTTCATTGTTTGTCAACGTCACCTACATATAATGTGCTTTTCATCCACTGCCTCCCTGCGCTTTCCTGAAGCAATAAAGACCTTGTTTTGTGCACGACAGTTTGTGTATTTTCTACATTAAAGGGGCTGAAGCCAGAGCAATCTCCTTTAAGGTCGAGTGAATTAAATGAAAGCCTCCGAATATTTTTAATTAAGGATGTGAAGAGAATTTAATAACTTCAAATTAAATGCAGCTGAAGCTCTGGTGTTGTGGGGATGTGTGTGTTTTGCAGCTGCAGACTCGCCGCCTTTAGTTTGCTTGCGCTACAATAAAAGATCAGTTTATCATTCTGCAGCGTCATCTGAACCTGAATAAATAGACATGTAAATCCCAGAGAGCAACATGGTTTCGCCCCGATCGCGTGGAATCCACTTTTTTAAGTCGTGACATCTCAATAATTTCATGTATTGTGTTTGCAGGTGGTCTTCGAGGGGCTTCTATTGTGGATTCTCTGGACACGCTGTACATCATGGGTCTGATGGAGGAGTATGAAGAAGCAAAGGAATGGGTCCAAAACAGCCTGGACCTGAACTCGGTGAGCAAACGGTGTTGGTTGGGAATCACTATTCCTCTGTGGGTTAGCAGCTCTGGAAAGGCCGTCAATCTTGGGCTGTCTAAAGCACTTGTGTAAAAGACTTCTATTGATCAGATGCTGTGCTGGAATCAATTGTTTCTTTTAACCAACATCTAGTCCAGGGAACGGAGACAGATTTTTTTCCAAATCAAACATTCGTGAGTGGATGAAAGGCCTCCGTTTGGTGTTGACTGGGCTAGTTCTTTCAAAGTGCGCTAATTCCTGTCTGTATTCCGCGGATTGAAAGAAACACGAGAAGTGTCATCCTCTGATAAGAGACATCTGCAGCGGGCTGAGGGCACAGGGGTTACTCTCTGAGGGACAGTTCTGAGGGAAAATTTAATTAAATGTATTGGTTGCTAGGGTGTTGCTAGGATACACGATTGTTGTGGTTATTTGCTATGGCATAGACCTTATTCAGAGCAGCGCCATGACAGGTATGAAAGTGAGGCTGTGTGGGATAGACTTACCGTGTTTCCAATGGCATCCGCTGTAAAAAGCCTAGATTACTTACAATTTTCCACAGCTTATATTGTCGGGAGTTTTTTGTCAACTATAATTTCTTGGAAAGATATTTTTCCAGTGTTTCATGAGCAGAACAAAAGCCTGTTAAATGGTTGCTTAGGTGTTCTGAAAGGTTTCTAGGGTGTTGTTAAGATGAGGATACTGTGTTTGTTGCGATGAGATGCAGCTATAAAAATTAAATTAATTACTTTAAAAAAAAAATAACATCACTGAATTTACTTAAGCTGGAATGTGACGCTATTTTCTTCTGGAAACAAACTTTTTTACATTATTTTCCTGTTATCTCTGTAAAGCTGCTTTGAAACACTCTGTATTGTAAAATGCGGTATATAAATAAATGTGACTTGACTAAGTTGTTGCTTTGTTTTATTTTGGTTTGCTTTCTGGTGTTTTGATGTCCTGAATGGTTGCTAGGGTGTTCCTATGATACTAGTATGTGGTGGGTAGTTGCTAGGCTGTTTCTAAGTTGTTGCTTATTTGTTCTGAATGGTTGCTAGGGCATTGTTAAAACAGAAGGAGATTGTGTTGATTTGTTTTATTTTTGCTTTGAATTGTTGCTAGGGTGTTCCTAGCATACTGATGGGGGCTCGTCCGGGTAGTTGCTAAGATGTTGTTAAGTGGTTCCTTAGTTGTTTTGAATGTTTTTTTAGGGTGTTGTTAAAAAACTAGAATGTTGTGGATAGTTGTTTTGATGTTCTGAATGGTTGCTAGGGTGTTGCTAGAATACTAGGATGTGGTCGGTAGTTGCTAAGCTGTTGCTAAATGGTTACTTAGGTTTCTGAATGGTTGCTAGGGTGTTGCTAGGAGACTAGGAGTTGTGGGTCGTTGTGGTTACCATTGCTATGTGGTTTAGTGTTCTGGGTAGTTGCTTAATGGTGCTTATAAGCCCACCCTTATATTTGTTGAAATTAATTAATATTTCGAAATTATTATTATTTTTTTTCCAGATCGGTGGGTAAAATAAAGCTGATGTAGCTGTGTATAAAAAAAAAATCACATTGGATGCTTGCTGTCTAGAAAATAGGGTCATCTAGTTTAGTTGGTTAATCTGGACACTTTTCTACTTTGACATCAAGAAGTTTGACTTTCATAACTCTTGATACTGAGATTTTTGACAGTGTAAAATGGCTTGTTAAAATCTGTCATTCGTCTGCTGTCATTGCTCAAGCAAAACGGTTTTATTGCATTCTGATGCACAGTGGCAAACTGCTCTGATTTATCCTGAAGGTTTTTTGGCAGATCATTAAAGGCACCAGTGGTATTTTGAATGTTGTGCTAGTGAGAGGCCCAGTGGTGCATATGAATGATGCATTCTGATTGGTCTTTCCAAGTGTATGAATAACTCATAAACATGTTCAGACACACAACACAATCCTTAAAATATATTTCATCTTTTCAACTTTCATTTTATGGACCATGGTGGAAAAATGTATTTCTTGTCCATTTCCATAATTGACCCTAAAGTCTCCAGATAGGGGCTGAAGAAGCAGCTTATACAATCTAAAGAAATGTATGAAATGCTATTCAGTTAATTGTTCTTTCTGTTAGTTTAATTAAAAACCGCAATCATGAACTGAAAGGGTGACAGTTCTCAATTTCTGAATTTGGTTTCAACCCAAATTTGGGTCAAATATGGACAAACCCAAACCCAAATTAAAACATTTACAGTTGAAAGTTGAAGTTGGGTTATAATTTGAAATGACATTTTTAACCCAACATTTGGGTTTGTCCATATTTTACCCAAATTTGGGGTAAAACAACCCAGCATTGTTTAGAGCGCATGTAGAGTTGTGCAATAGTTAGATCACTGTGAGGAAAGT